AAATGTCATATAATTAACACTGTATGGTAGGTTGTTCTATCATATAATTAATGATGTATGACAAACTATTGTATCACGTAATTCACACAGTGTGGCAGGCAGTTGTATCATATAATGAGTTATGGCTAGCTGTTGTATTATTAAATAATATGGAAAGCTGTTGTGTCATATAATTAAAATCATATGGCAGGCTCGTACGAGCCTGCCATWTGATTTTAATTATATGACACAACACATCTGTATGTGTTGTCACATCTTATATGACAGTACACATCTGTACTGTCATATAATTTACAATTATGGTAGGTTGTTGTATCATATAATTAATTATGTATGACAGGCCATTGTTACATATAATAAAACATATGGCAGGCCGCTGAATGAAGATGTTCTGGTGATGTTTTCATGAATGCTGCAGCAGTGATCTACAAACTTTACGCTAACACAGATGATGAAATACTTTAGCTCGGGGCCCTTAAATGTCTCAGGACCTTTGAGGACCATGACCGTCAGACCAGAACAACAATTCTGGTCTATGATCTATTGTATACATGTCACCCTTTTTATAATCTTGACCCTCATAAATCATTAATTTTCATGGAGGTTAATGTTAGAATGGACGGCAGAAGATGGCAGCGTCTGCAGCGGGACAAAACCAAGGACGGAACAGGGAGGGCAGGACAAGGAGGTGGTGAACTTATTTCCTCACACCACGCCAGCTCTGACATTTACATACATTTGAAGCAGCATGAGGACAAACATCATGAAGTGCCACAAAGACCTCAAGACTTGGGAGGACGCTGCAACCAAAAGGGGCGACCCGGAGAACCGAGGACCTCCATCAAGCCCCTGAAGACAAACTTCAACCCGGTCCACCGCACGGAAATATGCAGGATCAGGCTTTTTTCAGCCACCTAAGGACCCACAAGTGTCGACTACGAGTGATGATGATGATGATGATGATGTTTGGAGTTTAGGACCTTCGATATAAAACAAAGCAATACCCTTGTGAGAACCCCTGCTTTTGTTTGTCGGAGCGGCGCAGGTAGAACAAATGACCGTCACCTTTCCCAGAAGTTCCTGCACAGCTTAATCTCTCGGCCGCGCCCCGTTTTCCCAGCAGACGCTTCCTTCACTGTCAGCTCTGCYCCTACATACCAAACAGAGCGGACGGATGAAGGAGACCTGATCAAACGGCACCGGCCCGCTTTCATGCCTGATGTTTTAGCGCCCTCTGATGGCGTCTTAAACAACAACAYGACTTTATCTTCAAATCCTTTGGCACATTTGTGAATCTAAGCTTGTTTAAATGATCCTAAGATATCACAAAGAAACAGCAGCCGAACATATTATTGTTTCATTTCCTCTTGCCTACAGCAGAAGATTACCTCCAACCTGAGCTGAGCTCTACCTGTGTCTGATCTTGGATTAATAACCAAACTAAGTTCATTTACCTTAATTGCTAAAGTTTGTGTGGTAAAAAAGGGCAAAGTGTGGTGAGGGTTTCACAGGCTGGGAGATAATATTTCAGTTTATTCAGCGCCGATTTGCAAAAGACTTCTAGCCAAGCAACAGCTGAAAGTCCGTCAGTCACACAAACTCTCTCTGTGACAATCAASTTAATTAAAGTGGCTGAACAATCAGGTACTTGGGGGGGAAAAGGCGGAATCAGTCGCCTTCAGGCCAAGCACTTTCAGTCTTAATCAGACACATTAATTAAACTTCATCTCTGCAATTTGTCTAAAGATTTAACCTTTTTGCTTCTCAAAGCTTGTGTGAGAAGTTGACACCAAATGCTTGYTCGCATTTATAAAAAAAAATAGAAATAAAAAAGATGTGATGTTTGTTTACAAAGAGCTATGCTACTGTTAGGAGCAGCGTGTACATTTTATAATCCCAATGTTTTATGCGATTTGAAATGTTGAGGTAGAGATAAGATTTTGTTTAAATTTATATAAAATTATTGCGCACCAAGTGTAAAATAAATACTAAAAACTGTCACCAACACATTGTCATTACTTAGCTTGCTTTCTAAAATCCGAGTTTAATAATTCCTCTAACATTTTATTATTATTCAGCTCACTGTTCTTACAATTATCTATTTTTACTAAATTTAAATGTTACAGAATGTCTGTATGTAATAAATCCTAAATCTAAATGTAAATGTTAACTGTAAATGTTGTGGCTAAATGTTGAAGCGTATCTTGGAACGGAACAGTTTTTGTGTGCGGCATTGGTTAATACGTGTTCATCGAGAACAATTTGGTACCTGTACCTGTGGTCCAGTAGATTGTAGTTCTGCTTGCTCACCGAACACAAGTTTGATGAATTGTAGGGAAGCACTGGCAACGCTAGCAACATCAGCAGTTGCAGCGTTTGCAACGTTAGAAGCATTAGCAGCTTTTGAAGCTTTATTAATGTTTTCAGAATTAGTAGCATTAGCAGCACTAGCATCATTAGCAGCTTTTGAAGCTTTATTAGTGTTTTCAGCATTAGTAGCATTAGCAGCATTAGCATCATTAGCAGCTTTTGAAGCTTTATTAGTGTTTTCAGCATTGGTAGCATTAGCAGCATTTGAAGCTTTATCAGTGTTTTCAGCATTAGTAGCATTAGCAACATTAGCATCCTTAGCAGCATTAGAAGCTTCTGAAGTGTCATCAGTGTTTTCAGCATTAGTAACATTAGCAACATTAGCATCATTTGCAGCATTAGCATCATTAGCAGCTTTTGAAGCTTTATCGGTGTTTTCAGCGTTGGTAGCATTAGCAACATTAGCAGCCTTAGCAGCATTTGAAGCTTTATCAGTGTTTTCAGCATTGGTAGCATTAGCAGCATTAGCATCCTTAGCAGCATTTGAAGCTTTATTAGTGTTTTCAGCATTAGTAGCATTAGCAGCATTAGCATCCTTAGCAGCATTTGAAGCTTTATTAGTGTTTTCAGCATTAGTAGCATTAGCAGCATTAGCATCCTTAGCAGCATTTGAAGCATCAGAAGCATTAGCAGCATTAGCATCTTTTGAAGCTTTATCAGTGTTTTCAGCATTAGCAACATTAGCAACCTTAGCAGCTTTTGCAGCATTAGCAGCATTTGCACCTTTTGAAGCTTTATCAGTGTTTTCAGCATTAGTAGCATTAGCAACATTAGCATCCTTAGCAGCATTAGAAGCTTCTGAAGCGTCATCAGGGTTTTCAGCATTAGTAACATTAGCAACATTAGCGTCATTTGCAGCATTAGCATCATTAGCAGCTTTTGAAGCTTTATCAGTGTTTTCAGCGTTGGTAGCGTTAGCAACATTAGCAGCCTTAGCAGCTTTGCAGTGTTAGCACCATTATTAGCATTTCCAGTGTTAGCAACATTAGCATCATTAGCATTTGCAGCATTTAGCAGTGGTTAGCGTTTGCCTTTGTCGCAGACATCACAATAAAAGTTTTGCATCAACAGCAAAGGCTGTGTTCCATTCTGAAATACTTAAACATAAACTTTATCATTTAGCTGCGACATTTAAGATTTCACTTTCACCTTTAGATTTACAATTTAACATTTAGACATAACATTTAAATCTAACATTTAGCAAAAAAAATTAGCTAAATGTCAGAACACTGAACTAAATAACAATAAAATGTTAATGGATTTTTTTAATACTCAGAAAGTGGGCTAAATAATAAATGTGTTGGTGTTTTTTTAACACTTGGCACCTCATAGAAAACAGTAAAATGTTTGAATCTAAAATTAATTATTTGCCAAATTTGATGAAGTATAAAACGAAATAAAACTCATGGGAAAAAAAAGAAGTGTTGCTGTTTTCTGTTTTCTCTCTGTGGTATTTTGTGCCAACTTAACCTCAGATTTTTTATTTTCTTTTGCCATTTTTTTAAACAATTCTCTCAATAAAAAATTGCTCCATGTTAAAAAAAATCCTGCAATTATTAATTCAATAGCTTTCCCTTTTAATCCAAAACGCCCAACATGTTTAAAGTTTGTTACGCTCAGCAGCAGGAATCCAATTTCATCCTGAACTTTGGGGCTCTGGTTTCCTTTTTATTCACTCGAACCTCGTTTTGATGAGGCATGAGCTCACGAAAACACAAGAAAACTTCTTTTTGTCATCTGTATTTTGATGTATTGGTTTGCAGTCTGCGCTCTGACTTCATGCAAGGTATTTTTCTGCTCGATTTGCTGCGATCAGAGAAGAGGAAACATCATCTGGACACTGATACGGTCAAGGACTCTGATATAATCTGGATTTATCACAAACCCCTGCATTTAGACTGTCGGGACTCTCTACTTTGTCTTCGATCTTTCTGTAAAAAGATTCAGATCTCAGGTTCGTCCGACCACAAAACACTGTTTCGTTGTGTTACAGACTATGATATCTTCATGGATAATGTCGTTCCACCGGAGGAACTGGAGATTATGGAACATCGTCTCRTTCCGGTGCCCTCTGTGGATTAAAATTACTCCACGGATGTTTAATTGTTCAAGATAAAGCAGTGTGTGAATCACACAATGAAAAGAAATCAATCAGACAAAACATTAAAACCTTACGATCATACTGTGCAAAGAAATAAAAATCATTTCATTTGCATTTTCTCTAAAACTTAACTTTAAACTTATAAATCAGAAGCAGCCACCTCGAAATGATGCCATRTTTTCAGTTTATGTAAGATTTGCACTGCGGAGTCTGTTTTGACAGCACTTTTGTAGGAATAAACAAAAATAAAATGAAAAAATAAAGTAAATATGTCAAGGGAAATTAGGCTTTTGGCAGGTTTCTCAAAGCTTGACTAACCAGTTRTGTCAAAACAAATTCTACTTTGGGCAGAAAAGCTGCGGCGCTGCTCTTTTGGCAACTTTTTCTTTTTGCTGCTTTGTGTGTCGCTTAACGCCGAGCACAGCGATCCAGTCAATCTGAACCTGAGGGAACCCAAAACCAGAAAATGCACTTCATGAATCATGCAGACCCAAAGCTATAGGAGGGAGGGGGGGAAAAAAATCTCACATTTGTTTCATTTTTTTTTTCTCTTCCACGAATTGAAATGTTGGGACAGTTGATGCCAGAAGCAGTTTGAAGAAAAGTGAATTTTTCTACCTCGCAATGATTCCAGGCACTTCACTCAGATCCTGTAAATAAGAAAGAAGATTGGGAGCAGAAGTAAAGCTCAGCCTCTCAGAAACGCTGTAATGAAATCCCACAGGTGACCTCACTTCCTGGTAAGCGTCGGCCCTATAGACGCGCAGCAATCGTCAGGTGCATGTTTTTGCTTTTTTTCCTCTTCCTTATCAGAGTTGTAAAGTCTACACGTGAGGTGAGGTCAACCGYACCTTCGCCGGAGCTGCCGGGGGCTTTGAGTTTCAAACTTTTAAAGTTAAACTCTTTGAYATGACCTGAAGCAGAAATCTGATCYGAGTCTGGAAACGTCCAGGTAAGCCTGTTTATAGACACRTATTTTCGTCCAGGAAGTTCCTGTCACTCAGTTTTATGATCATAGTTCTGTGTGATCAAGGTCAAACATAAACCATGTACAAAATGAAGGGAATGACTCTGYAGGCAGTTTAAAGCACGGAGGCGAGTTCAGACGTGAGTGTGAMCACACTCCGGTTCAACTGTTTATAATAAAGAAAATGAGCGTTAAACTACAAACTCAATCAGGACATCTTCATAAAAAATTAACTTAAATGCCTCTCGTTCAGGAAATAAACTAGATGTGTCAAAAAGAATCAAACAAGTAAGGAAAATAACATTTGAATAAATGTCATCGTTTTAATAAAAATCTTGTGAGATCAGAGCTGCTCACAGTATGTGTTGAGGATGACTTTCAGCTACTACCACCTCAAATTTCAGCTCGTTATCTGTGAAATTAGCAGAGTTATCGTCATTTTTGTGAGTGCTCTGGTTGATAACCTGCAGTGGCCATTTTGAATTGGGTTGRCTCTAAAAGTTAATCAGTTATAGCTGCACAATTATTACATAGTTGCTGGGAGTTTCATCAGGAGATATTTTGCTAACAGACAACCAAACCCACTTTCATGACAGCAGGTAATAATATGTATAAAAAATGACTTCACTATTTAAACATCTGATTTTCTGCATAAAAACAAGCAATATTTAGGCTGAAAACAAACCGTGTCTCGATCAGTTTTTTTATGAAGGCGAGCCGAAGCTAAAGAGACTCCTCACACAGCTGCAGAAACATCTCAGAGCCTCTCTGCTGCTCGTTTCCACAGATCAAAGACCTTCTCTGAGACAGCAGCGTGTCCCTGCAGCTCCACCATGAAGACACCGACAACAGGTGAGTTATTTCAGRACATCACAGGTACCTGGATGGAGCCGGACATGGCTCATGTTTTCACTCCGTTTCAGCCTTTAGGTGAAATTTCAGCTAACACCTGCTGAAAAAATCTTTTGTGATTGATTTTTATTTTTATTTTTACCGTTTGGAAGAAATAAAACCTGCCTGGGTTTTAATAAAGACCTGCGATGAGAACATGTTCGTCTGAAAGCACAAAAACAAAAAAACAAACATCAACTGCATTTCTGTGAAAATCCAGTGTGAACGCTGAGAGCYGAATGGCAGCTTAAGTTTGCTWAAGAAGCTGAAACTGAGTTGTTACAGCTAAAAAATGCAAAACAAGAGCTAAAAAGTGAAAACTGGCTAAACTCTGGATAAAACTTTCAAACGTGTAGCTAAAAAGGGAAATTGCTACAAATTAATAGCAGCAAAACAATATCTAAAAACCAATAATTAAAAGCAGAAAAATGGCTAAATGCTAAAAAAAAGCAAAACATTAACTTAAAGCCAAAAATAGCTAAATACGAGCAAAAAAAATTTGCAAAATGCTAGCTAAAAGCTGAAAAGTTAAACTAGCTAAAAATCAAATGTAGCATAATGGCTAAATGTTAAAAGAAGTATATTAGCGTAAAGCCAAAAGTAGCAAAATGATAACTAAAATCTAAGAAGTTAAGCACTAGCTAAAAATCAAATGTAACATAATTACAAACGTTAACGTACAGCATTAGTGTAAAGCAAARGTAGCTAAATAACTAAAACTAACAAAAGGATAGCTAAATAAGCAAAACAGTTAAATGCTAAAAGATGTTAAATAATAGCTAAGAGGTCAAACCTTTTTAAATACTAGCTGAAAAAAATCTAAAGTGTCTAAATGATTAAAAGTTAAAACACTACATGAAATAAAAAATATCAAAACAGTTAAATGATAAACGATGCAAAACACCATCTTAAAGTCAAAAGTMGCTAAAAGCTAGCTAAAAACCACAAGTAGAAAAATATTTTCTAAAAACAGCWAAATGGAAGCTAAAAGGCAAAAGTKGSMAAARGSYTKKTT